TTCTACACTGTGTGACGTGTAGGGGGTGGGAAAATCCAGAAACCTGCTTGGCTGTCAGCGGGCGTGGCGCCCGGGGGTTGGTGGCCAACCTCAATTCAAATCATCTTCAGTTTTGTGGTGGTAAAATAACGGTAAAATCATTGTAAAATCCCTCCACAACTTAGAAGTGGCGATAAAATCACGGACTTTCCACCAAGACAATCAACGTGGTCATTGTTGTGACAAACTACTTTCTGTAACGCGCGACTTTCTGCGAGGTTGCAATGAGGGGTCCCAAGTTGGGAAGGTTGGGCAAATTATGGGAGACCAGGATCGGTAGGAAATTGCATCAGTGTCCTTGCTTTTTCGTCTTTTCCGTCGTTTCGAATGGCTGGGTTCGGAGCTGGGTGTGTCCTAGGATTGGCCGGTTGATTGATTGGTCGGCTGGATGGCCGGCGCGCCACCACGCGCGCGATTAATAAATGTTGACGTCGTTTCTTTCGTTTCGGTTTCGATCTTTTGGGCGCGGACATCACGCGGGAATCTGCTTTGTTCTTTTTGAATTGTTCTTTTGAGTCTTTTTTAAATTTTGTCGGGCCTCAATGGCTCTCGGAATGTCGGACTTTCCCTCTGAAGTTTGTGCTTTTTACTTCTTCGCATTAGATAGGAATTTAGAAATTCAGTAATTAGGATTTTTCTTGTCGGGCGGCGCCTTTTGTCTACGCGCTTCTTCATGCGGCTGCAACGGTACTCTGATTAGTAGGCGCCTTTAATCGTGTGTGTACCTGTAATTTTGGGCGGGCGCCATTGTAACTGTATCTTTCTTCTTGCACTTCGTCTTTCCTGCCGTCCTTCTCTTTCTTTTGCTGCACTTTTGCTAGCCGCGGTCTGCATGATCGGATCGATGCGTGGAGAGCAGCTACATCCCCCACGCAGCGATCAAACCATGCAGACGTAGGCAATTTCCGCCCCCTTCCCTTCTTCTAAGTCCTTGTAACTCCGTGTTCTTCGTGCATGCATGCACGCTATAAATTCCGGCTGCGCGATTAGTTAGCTCTCTTAACCAGCTGTTGGAAGCTCGGGGCTGCGCGATCAGGAAGGATCAGCACACGAGTGAAGTAAGAGGTGAGCAGAGAAGGAGTCGGGCGACCGGACGAGCTGGTGCCGAACTCGCGGGGTTGACGCGGGCCACAACAGACTGTGGGCGCGAGCGAACCTGACGGGTGCGGGAGGACTAAGCGGGGTGACGACTTCGTGGGTTGGTGCGAGACGACGGACTGTCCACATTGGAGAAGAAGAGAGAGGAAGAGAGAGTTGAGGTTGATGGATGCGGAGTTGCTATTTCTTTTGTCTCTTCTTCCCCCTGTCTTGTGTATATAAATTTTGAGTGCGGCTCCGGGCGATTCACTCGTTTTTGTTTTCCCTTCTGTTTTTCAGAACCCGAACTTGGATTTTTGCTCACCCTTGTCTTTGCGATTCTCATCTCCAATGCGCTATGAATGTATGGATGCCATGTTTCGATCGTTTTTTATCTCCGTCCTTGCCTTTGGGGTATTGTGTGTATGATTATGGAGGATGCGGATGTATGGAGGCTATGCTTGCTTGTTTATGCTTCGCAAAGAATCTTTTGTCTTTGTGTTGTTCGTCGCATTCGATGCACACGTAGGTAGATTAGGAATTTTGCGCAATTGATGATTCTTTCCGTGTGATTGCTTGTCTTTGGGTCGAGCTGTTTGTGATCATTGCATCTTGCATAGCTCGGAACATCACGAAGTGATTAGGCGGTCGGATGCCGGGCTCGGTGAATGCCGCGCGAGGACACGTGTAAAACACGATCTAAGTTGCGCACTTATACATATCCCCGGGCGTCGACTTATCGGGACCATCAATCCATCCGATTGGGAGTGACCATCTCGAAATCCGCAACGACGCAATCGTCCTGCACAAGCACGCGTTAGTCCGACGACAGTCACGCGGCCTGCACGTGCTCGCACGCGGCGACCGCGATCGCAGCGGACCCGTCCTTAGGCAACTCATAATATCGCAATGTCATGATGACGCGATCCTGGAATTCCGACTCATCCTACGACCCGGATTATTTCACGCCTTGGATAAACGAAATCCTAAGGCAGCGATACCCCTGCCACACTGAGAATCGACTATGTCCTCGGGAATTCCACTGCGCCACCTCTAGCGACCCCCGGTGCTCTGATTTCCCTTCTCCCGACCATACCTACTACTTCATCCACCCGGGATTTGTCGTCATCACCACCAGCTTCCCTCCCTTTCGCCTTCTTCTTCCGTACCATCAACTCAGCGTCGTTCCGTGGCCGGTCATAGCCCCCTATTGGCCCAGCACACCCTGCGGGAACTGCCGACGGCGCGGCGATCAAAGAACCCCGGAGTTCCGAAGGCCTAGCCCGCACGTGCGACGACCCCCGCCACGTGGCAACTCCCGACAGACGAACTCATCGGAACCCCACCTACCCCGAAGGGACCAACCCCCGAACCGCCGTCCCCGAAACCAATGGCTCGCTCGGTCCTGAGCGAACCGCGCTTGTAACCCGAAAACACCCTCTTCGCCAAATTGCGCCCGTGCCCCCGAAAGACCCTGTCACAGGAGATCTCAGTTCTGACCTGGGACTCCACTTTCCCCAAAAATCCTTGGCACACCCCTTTTTGCACTTCCAGGCCCACATCCCACTCCGATCAGGAAGTCGCGCTGGGCGTGAGGTTGGGCGTCACATTGTCGTTAGCAATCGCACTTTTCTTGGAATAGCTTTCTACCACGCAGAACATGGCCTCGCCTCGTCCAAACACGGCCTCGCCTCGTCCAAAACCACGTCTCTCAGCCGAAACAAATGTCCGAAAGACTCGGAAACCCCGCGTTCTTCTCACATTCACGCTGGTTGACTGTGCGCACGTCCGATCCGGGTCCATCATGCATCCAAGATTCGCCGTCCGCAGCCGCCCGACGCCACCCGGTGCCGCCCAACTGAACTACACGGCGCATGTGGGTCCCGGCCCCTGGAGACTCCAGTTGTTACCCACACATAGGCCACTACTCCACAATCCCCATGTTCCCTCCCACGCATGAACTCCTACCTAACAACCGCCGCTACTCCACAATCCCCATCGGACCCCATGTTCCCCCCCACGCATGAACTCCTACCTACCAACCGCGACTACTCCACAATCCCCATCTTCCCCCCCCCCACATGAACCCCCATCACAACCGCAGTTGCTAGACCACCCCTTACCTGTCAAATCTGGAGAGGACGGCCTTTCAGGCCTTTTTTTATTGTCATTATAGTATTACGGGGAACCCCTTAGCAGCCACATCCGTGCTCAAGGCTCCAACAAGGGAACAAGTGGGAGCTGCACCCACCAGCAGGTGCCATACCTGCTACAGCAGGTGGGCTATACCGGCCAGGGGTCAGCCTGTAGCATCAGGACAGAGCTTCTTCGATGGGCCAGTCACTGTGCCTCCCCTCGGTCCAGTCTCTGCTCAATGCCACTCGGGGGACCAACGGTTCCAGGTGGCGGGTGCCAAGCTTGCCCAGGAAGGTACATGAGGCCAATGGGGATTGAACCCAAGACCTCCTAAATGCCACTAGGGTGCCTTACCAATTGAGCTAGGCCGCTGGATGTTTTTCGATTTTTTTTTTTTTTGCACAATTCAATCACATTAAAGTTTTTCGATTTTTAACTAGGCCGCAGTCACGATTTCAGTTTTAAATGCTAATAAATGCACTTCAGGCATCCCTCGAATACAACACATCCCCACCCGACCCTGAAGGTGGGTTGTATATATTCACGATTTTCCTCGGTTTGACACAGCATTCGCGAATGACTGAAAGCCATTTTCAAACAGAAACCGTGGCAGCGCTCTAGTTTTCCCTTTTCTTGTTTCTGTTTTTTTTGAAAACATCCTCCCATGCGACCTACTTCCCCCGAATACAACGTACAGTAATTATAGCTGTATTTGAGGTATCTTTCAATCTAAATACAGTTATAATGGCCGTACGTTGCATTCGGGGGAAAAAGGTAGTGGTGCTTCAACCGTTCAAGTCTCCAAAATGCGAAGTTTCTGATTCCTTCCGCTACATTCGTGGGTTGTTCAAGCATCCCATGTTTGTACAGGTCTGCCTGCTTCGTATCATGGAGACACATACACCTCCCGTCGAGTGCGCCATATACCGAACAGCACCATGGACCGGGGGCAAGGTCCCACTTGAGAAAATTAGGAGATTTCGGCCGTTGATCTTTGCTATCTACGGTCAATATCTCTTAATTAATGCAAGTGGGACCTAGCCCCGGGGATCCCGTCTTTGTGAATTCAAACCATCCAACAGTCATTACGGAGCCATCCCAATGTTCCCATTATATTTGAATACCACGATTACAATCCACGGAGTCCGTGGATTTCCTTCCTTGGCACCGAAACATCAGAACTATCATTTCTAATTGGCCTATCTCAGCTGGTACACCAAATTAACTGTTGAAATGCAGGCCCAAATAAACTGTTCGAATCAAGATCCAATCAGATGAACGGAACCAAGTTGTTCAGAAGAAACTGGGGCCGGTCAGCTCGAAGATGATGTCTCAAGAAGAAGAAAAAAAAGAGGAAAAAAAGCGAAAAAAAAAACGAAAAAAGCACTACCATCTCTATTTCTTCACAAAAAACACAGGTGCCCTAAGACGACTACGCTTTCAGTAACCAACCAAAGTGCCGTCGTCATTTCTTCACAGTCTCCCGTGAACCAACTAAAAGACGAAATCCTTAATACAAAAAGAAACCCATCTCAAGTCAGTAGTTGAGCTTGCTGCGTCCGCATGCAACGGAGCAACGGTGCCCGCAGCTACCGCCCCTTCCGTAGTATGAGCTCCTTCCATACAGAGGACCGACCCACTTCTCCTCCCCTCCCACCCTTCCCCCATTCTCTCTCGCCAACGCTTGCTGCGTCCTCATACAACGGAGCAACGGTGCCCGCAGCTACTGTACCTCGGTATTATGAGCTCCGAGCAGGCAGAGGACCGACCCACTTCTCCCCGCCTCCCACCCTTCCCCCCTTTCTCTCTCAGAGACCAATGGTGTATGTACAACGTAAACCATTCCCGGCGAGATCCAAGCACTTCTCCACACGACTTTCGCAATCACAGAACTCGCCAAGACGACAGGGAACACGACGACAACGACGGCGATGAACATAGGAGCGATGGACATGATGACGACGAAGAAGACACTGCAAACGACAAATTAACGAAGAAGACGACAACAAAGTAATGAAAATAGAAAAGATAGAGAAGGAAGTGGTAGTATTGGAGGAAGACGAAGAAGACGACGAGGAAACTGGTTTTGCCCGCGCACGCCCTCCAGATGATGATTCAGGAACAGCCTGGTGTTACTGAGCAGATGGCCTTTGGATGACGTTCATTCTTCTATCCCGGCGGCCGTTGGATGACGTTCATTCTTCTATCTCTTTCAACGGCGGCAAGGGACGCGAACTCCATGCCTGGAGACACACCTGTCGTTCAGCCACTGAGGAGGACAAACAAAAACTACATGCCGTGATAAGTACGGGCCAGCTTAAGAGGGGGCACAACAGAGGTTGAGCGATCTGTACTGTACAGTGTACAGCGTTCCACGGTTCCAGGCAAACTCCGTGCCTTGAAAAGCTGCAAGCCACGAAGGACGGGCACTCGACGCACAGCTTCTCAAGCCCACTTCTGCATCTAAGCGCTGGCATCCCCAAAGGACGAGCACTCGAGGCTCACTCTGAACTGACGAATCGATGTCCTTTGCAGAGCCCGTTCCCTCTGCTCCAGCGATTATGCGTGTGGCGTGGAACAGATGAAAAACGATTCGCTTGCAACGACCACCGTCCGTCTATCCCAGCGCAATCGCACGCAGAGTCTACTTCTAATCCTCTGTCCCCTTCCACGTTGATAGCCGCTGACATTTGGTATATGGGCCGAAGCAGGCTGAAGCATTTGCGGTGTCGTTCTCAAATCTTTTGCTAAAGAATGGCAAGGATGATTCTTCCGGAAGCAGGGAGTTGAGGACCATGAGAAGAATGGCCACAAGGTGCAACCGGCGTTGGGCAGGGCGGAGAATACTGAGCAGGATATGGGGGAAAACAGAGAGGCGGGAGGGGAGGACACGGAGGGTATGGAGCATAGGGAGGAGGATATGGAGACGAACCATTCGGGATGGGTTCATATGGAGGAGGAGGAAAAGTGGGAGGAAAATGTGGGTAGTACGGAGAAGGAGAATACGGGGAAGGAGAAACTGGGGGAGGATAATATGGTGAGGGAGGGTACGGGAAAGGAGAAAATGGAGAAGGAGAATACGGGGAAGGGTAATATGGGGGATAATATGGAGGAGGATATGGATAAGGAAAATAGGGAGGAATCAGAGGAGGGGGGAATGGACAAGGAGGATACGGAGCAGGAGGACATGGAGGTCCGGGAGGAGAGGGATGGGGAGCAGGAGGACATGGGGGTGGGGG